TATATATAATAATATATTATATATATTATATATAATATATATACAGTAATACTATATATATAATATATATATATATAATATATATATATACATATATATAATATATATTATAATATTATATAATTTCATTCTCGTTTCTGGCTCTCGTCCTGGTGTTATATGACGCCCTAAAGTTCATAAGACTGGTACACCTCTGAGGCCTATTGTTTCATCAATCAAAACTTTTAATTATAACCTTGCTAAATTCCTAGTTAAAATCATAGAACCCCTTACCACTAATGAGTACACCACTGCCAACACCTTGGAATTTGTAAATGAAATTAAACAACTCAACATTGATGATTCTACAATAATGGCAAGCTTTGATGTTGAATCTCTATTCACTAACGTTCCTCTGTCAGAAACCACCCAGATTATCACAGATACCACATCTGACGAGTCTTTGTTACACTTTGGTCTCAACAAAAAACAGTTTAATTCCTTTCTAAATGTTGCCACGAGAGACTCTGTTTTTTTCTTTCGATAATCAACTTTACACTCAAATTGACGGTGTAGCCATGGGTTCACCCCTTGGCCCTAGCTATGCTAATACCTTTCTTTGCCATCATGAACGAAATTGGTTAAATAACTGCCCAGATCATTTCAAACCAATTTTTTACAAAAGATACGTGGATGACATGTTTCTTCTTTTCAAACAACAGTCACACATTGAACAGTTTCTGTCATATCTTAATGAACAACATCCAAACATTAAGTTTACGTGCGAAACAGAAAAAAAAACAAACTTTCCTTTCTTGACGCGTTGATTTCCAAAGAAAACGGACGTCTCTCTGCTTCGGTTTACAGAAAACCTACTTTCACCGGTTTGGGAATGAATTATTTGTTTCACACCTTTGAAGTATAAAATTAACAGTATAATCACTCTAATTAATAGAGCATTTAATATTTGCTCTACCTGGATCCAATTTGATGACAAAATCAAATTCTTAGTCAACTATTTCAATAGCAATGGTTTCCTGATAACATTTTTTACAAGACCCTAAGATCATTCTTGGATAATAAACTAAGCCCACCCACAAAAATCCTCACCGCTCACAAAGAAACAAAGTTCATAAAATTACCGTATCTTGGTGATATAAGTTTTACCATTCGAAAACAATTACGTGAAATACTTAAACATTCATTCCCTCAGATCAGCTTCAATATTGTCCTTGTCAACCACTATAGTATCAACTCGTTGTTTAGAAAAAGAATGCCTCTGCCTTCAGAACTATGTTCGAATATAGTATATATTTTCAATTGTCCTAGATGTAACGCTAGGTACATTGGGTCATCCACTCGATGGCTCAAACATAGAACACTCGAACATATGGGCAAATCTATCAGGACGAGCCTACCTCTGAGCAGACCTTCTTTCTCTGCTGTTCGTCAGCATTCACACTCACAAGATCACCCGTTCACTCACAATGATTTTAAAATTCTGTCCACAACAGCTAACAAACTTGACCTTCTCATCTCAGAATCCCTGTATATCCACAAGATGAAACCTGACCTGAACAATAGTACAGCCATTCAGTTGTTTACGGTGTAATTCAACCATCGTAATTAGCACTTCCTCACTTGTCTTTGGTATGTCTCACCCTCACCCAAGTTTTTACATTTTTCCACTATGTTTTTGACTGTTTCGTTTTTGTTCACTTGTTACCTTTTGATTTGCTTAGTCTGTTAAAACTTTTTTACCACTGTTCTCTTTTTATCTAATTTGTTCTTGTATTCTCTGTTTCAGTCTGATGATGGAGAGATAACTCTTCGAAACGTTACTTAATAAAGATGTTCATCACAGCCCTGGCCCTCCTTTTCCTTCTGAGATTACGATTCCCGAATGGAAAATCAACCGCAAAATCATATAATATATATATAATATATATATATATATATATATATATATATATATATATATATATATATAATAATATATAATTTCTCCCTCCACACACACATACACACAAACAGACTCACGCACACACACACACACACACACACACACACACACACACACACACACACACACACACACACACACACACACACACACACACACAGACACACACACACACA